TATTTCTGATTCTATATCTGACTTAGTATAAATCTGGGAAGTCTCCCTTTCCAAAAGGAGTGCTGCCCAAATTTCTACTAATTCAGAGAGTTAGACAGAATTTGACTTTCCAAGAGTTGAAGATTATTTATGTGTTCATGTTTGAGCTTATATAAATTCTGGAAAGACACTTTTCCTACGGGAAGCACTGCCGAAATTTTTCTTAGTTTAGAGGATATAGACTATATTTTGACAAGTGGCGATTCAGGCGATCCACCCAGAATAGAGGAGATTTCGTAGTTGGTCTACCTTTAGCTTAAGCACTGGCTTAAAAGTAGACTTAAGTTTAGCTTATAGGGAAATTTTGAGTGAGGATGTATTATGAAGTTGTATTCTCCATACACTTATGATCTTAGCTTGGGGATTGGTCTGTCGTGTGTTACATGTCTTTTTGATCATTCGATTCAAGTTCAGGGCTAGACCCAGCTTGATCCCTTGAGGATCACTTTCTGTTATCACTGATAACAGGTCGGTTGTCGATCCGTCGGTTTACGACTCAATTTCAACTCACCCTCCACAATCAACCTAAAAGGCTTTAGCCCTGGTGAATTTTATTGTTTCATTATGGTTTCACCCGGGCTTTTATTGAATGACCATTTAACAAAGGTACTGACTACTTAATTAAGGTTGGTTGGACAAGAGGTTTGAGGTTTGCATGGCTAAAGCAAGGGGTACGAGTGTCGAAGGTTGTTGGGGTTTGACTCCGTGTAGTGTGTGGGCTGTTGATTTGGTTCGTTGATGTGATTGCAGGTATGTGTTGTGAATCAGATTCTGGATTTGGTTGCCTACGATCATATTTATACGTATTATTGTGAGAGACCCCAGTGAGACTGTGAGAAGTGATTGTCGCATACTTAACCCTTATATATGTATACATGGGTATACTTGGGATGAATGTTTGCATGGGTTGAAGAGCCCCTATACTAATGTCCTACTAAGAGACTGAGACTGAGGGGCTTGAGGGAGGCCTCTTCTTCTATTTTTGTTCTTGTTTTTTGATGATTTTCTTAGTCGGACGTTTGGTCCTGGGCCGGGATTCGAGGTCCTTGTCCAGGACATCCCAAGCCCTAGGCTCTGCAGGGAAGGGGTTTCCCCTCGCGCAGAGCTTATTTAATTTGCCTACCGAGACACTCAGGCCGAGAGTCGGAGGTGTCGCGGCGGCTGCACGGCTATTCCTTCAGCCATGTAATGTTGTGAAGGGTTAGACCCTCACGACACTTCGAGTCTGACACTTGAGTATCATAAGCGGTACTCGGATCCACGAGGGACCGCTTGATTATGGGCACTACATAGTATGCCATAATTGCGACTGCTTGTGTACGCCAGCATTGCAAATCGATATGAATTAGCCCTGCGTCCGCGTGGTTTTATACTAAGTTCAGCGCGCGACGCCTATCCGATTCCCGCCCCGGAAAGTTATGGGTTGGCTACCGAGGGGCTAGGAGCGTTGTCGCATCGTTTGTGTTGTGTCGTTTCGTATATGTGTTATTTTGTGTGTATGTGTGTTCGTAAGTGGAGTGCGCGTGGTGTGTGGGATGCGTCCTAGTCGACCGACGACGGGTCGCGCTTGGGACCTCAGCCTCCCCAGATGCCGATTCACGTGCGGGTTCGATGGAGGCGTATTACCGCGCGTCCCCCCTATGCTACAGCGAACGAGAAACGCCCTCGGCTGGTCCACCTTTGCGATTGCAACTCTGCGATTGCAACTGATTAACTTTCGTACTGTTGACTGGTAGCTGGGCGGGGATACGCCCACCGAAGGGAGGTGACAACTCCCGTAAGGTGTAGGTAAGTCGTGCCTCGCGTAGGCCCTATCCTGTCGTAGGGGTTCGCAAGAGGTATGGCTGACGCACTCGGCCGGAGCGGCTTGCGGAAGCTCCACATGTATTGTTTGCGACGAAGGATTTTAGACCAACTCCTGCGTGATGCGGTCGGGAGGGTCCCGCGCTGCCCCCGTGCGGTGCCGGATCGATGCGCTCGACAGGTGGCGCCGTTGCCGGGGATAACTGAAAGCCTACCGTTGTCCCTGGTAGAACGACATCCGGGTATGAGAAGTGAATAAGAAAAGGCATAAAGGAGTGATGAGAAGGTAATGAAGGAATATATGAATGACTAAGTATAGGCGAGGAAATTTACCTACCCAAGTAGAGGAAGTATGAGGGACGATCGTGTTAACATTTGGGTAAAGTAAGTACTAAGGGTTAGGTAGGACGGACGGAATAGACTGGTCAAGGTATAATGTTGAATAAGGGAATGTGCTTGTTTTTTCTCTTATCAGGAAGCTTGAAAAGAAGAGGTTGTCAAGATGCCTGAAACTGGCGGCGCATCGGGTGCACCCAAGAAGGGTCTGACACTCGATGACCTCATCGCGGCCATCGACCAACATGAAAGGAATCCAATCAATATCCCAAAGGTCGATACTTTCCATTTTTGTGGGGAAAGAGTCTCGGAATGGCTGAAGTGGGTGGAACAAGCTTTGGTCGGGCGGTCGGACATTGTAAAGTTTCAACGCATCCTTCAGTATGTCCTCCACAGCTACCACCAAGAGGTGAAGAAAGTCATAGATGCATCCCAAGGCAGCTGGGAGAGGTTTAAGGAGGGGATGCAGAGGAAGTACCGCCTGGGAGACGGGTTGTTGACTACCGCGGACCTTGAGGCGATGAACAAAGAGGATTTTACGACGATAGGGGCCTTTGTCCAATAATTTAAGAAAAGGGCGCGGAAGGTCCATGGGATTTCGGAGGAAGCACAGTGCGCCATCTTCCTGGGGCTACTCACGGCGTCGGAGGCCGTCGAGTTGACAAGACATGGAGGAGGTAGCACCAAGCTCACCTGGGGCACCATTGATAGAGGGGTGAAAGTTGGGTGTTTAGACCAGATGGAGCAACGTCAGGTACGCCTGCAAAGGCAAAAGAGAAAGGAAAGAGATGCGACTGCTTCTGGGACCCCGGGGGTGACAAGGATTGTTACAGACGTATTGGCACAGCTAGGGTATGCGACAGAGCCGGTGGTGCAAAGGAGGGTRGTGACGGCTGTCAAAGTGAAAGGAAAGGAGCCGGTGATAGAGGAGGTTGTTCAGGAGGAGCTCTGGGAAGGGGAAGAGCCGGTGTCGCAGCATCTGACGAAGGTCCAGCGCAAAGTGCGTAATTTGGCGCAGGGCGGACAGGGATCAGGAAAAGCGCAGGCGCCTCAGGCCCAGGCAGCAGCCCCTTTAAATGTGGCGGCTCCATCATCTAGTACGGGCCCCTCACAAGGAAGAGCGCCCTCCTACGGACAGTGGCCCTGGCCGGTGATCAATGCAATTGTGCCATGGGAAAGCCCGCCGCCAGTAGCCGGACCGCAAACAAGTATGCCACCACCCATCTACCCCACAGCCCAGGCCCAGCCTGTGGCCCCGCCACCGTCACCTGCTCCCAGTTCACAGGGCAGCGTTGCAGGAGGTGGGAACCAGGGGCAGGGCAATCAAGGCAACGGAGGGAGGGGTGGAGGAAGGGGGCGAGGCAGGAATGGCGGCGGAAGAGGAAGGCAATGAAATGGTCAAGGCCAGGGGTACCAAGGCCAAGGGGGTCAAGGCCAGGGGTACCAAGGCCAAGGGAGTCAAGGCCAGGGGTACCAAGGCCAAGGGAATCAAGGCCAGGGGTACCAAGGCCAGGGGTATCAAGGCCAGGGCATTCAGGGAAGTCAGGGGTATGGAAGACCCCGTTTTGATTGGAGGACGGCCATCTGTCAACATTGTGACCAACAAGGCCACACTATAAGGTTCTGTAATATAAGACTGGAAGACGAGAGAAGTGAACTGATTTCCTCCACTATGGATGAGAATATCTACGATTAGTTTGGGGAGGTCATCGACAGAATGCTTGGAGGAGTGAGGGCTGAGGCCCAACGAAGAGCGGCAGCTGGGCCGCCACCCCCTGCCATGTTCAGACTATGGCAGGAAAAGGAGGAACCACCGATTGGGGTGGAGGAAGTAGGGAACGATGAGGAAGTGGCTCAAGGGCTACAAGGAGGGAGTAAGAAGGAATAACTCGTAATCACTGAGTCAGATGACGAGAGAGAGGAGGAAAGGATGGAGCCTCCGTCTGTCTTATTAGGGAAAATGGAGGACCTGCTGGATAAGATGGGGAGGTACCAACAGAAGTTGGTAGGCCTCTGTAAGGAAGTGAAGAAATGGAGATCTAACATCTCCAAGGTGTTCCTCTATGGCTCCGGCCCGGAGTCAGCGCCTGGGCGACCCGGAGTAAATGTGGTGGGGTCGTGCCCACAATCGGGAATGATGGGGAGACCCCTCACTCCGCAGGCCCGGCTGACACAGGCAGCGCGAACGAGGAATCAAGCCAAGGCCAGTGCCTGCCAAGAGCCTCCGAGGAGGGAACCCGAACCAGGGAGAAGGAAAAAGGTTGTGGAAGTAGAGGACGACGATGATGAAGAGGAAGAGGACGAGAAGCTGCGCAAAGAGGAGGATCAAAGAGCGGAGCAGCGGGCAAGGAAAAAGAGAACCAGGGGAGAGGTCGAGCCGGTCRTGCGCGACGGACCGCCCAAAAAGAAGAAATACGCGGTTCGGTTGGAAGAGGGATTTGACGTAGAAAAAGTGATCGACCGGCTGCTAGAAGGGCACAATGACCTCATGACCCTGAAGGAAATCCTAGCGTCGGCCCCGCGGCTCCGCGATGAACTAAAGGGGAGGTTGTCGCTGCGCCTGGTGCCTAATGTCCATCTGGGTACGATCCTGCCCAAGGAGGCTGAGTGGGCGGAGTCAGGTACGAAAATGGACTGGAAGTGTGTAGCCTGCTGCACGGTGGATTTGGTGGTGAAGGGTTTCAAGTGCGCGGCAATGGCGGAAACGAGGGCGGAAATGAACATTATTCGGGAAGCGGATGCAATCAGATTCGGGCTGGATATAGACCGTTCTGACTGCGGTATTCTGCACGGAGCTAACTGCAAGGCCGTATTTTTTGTGGGACAACCTCGAATGTACTCATCGAGGTTGGAAAGGTGAAGGCTCGGGCTTGCTTCTTCATCATGCCAGACGTGGATCACGGGATCCTCCTGAGGAGATCATTCCTAAGCAGGACGGAGACCGTGATATTCAATAAGCATGACGGGACGTTAATCCTCCTTTTATGCGATCCTGCCTTCGAGAATTACGAAATAATTACCTGCAGGAACACAGGGCCAAGGAGTACAAGGAACCGGCCAAATCCAGGATCGTTCACAATCGAAGCGTCGGAAGGTGAACGCCGGATGTTTCGGGCAGAGCCCGAAACAGGAGAGAGGGTGAAAGCATTTTCCCTCAGCTTGTCGGACGTCGGGAAGGCCATGGACTTGGTGGCCGCGCATGAGATGGCAGATCCGGATGCCATCCAGGCCTTGAGGGAGCAAGTTCTGGAATGCCCCGAGGCAGGAAGGTTGAAGTTGGTATATCGGCTCCCGGGCAGCGGAAAGAGCCCTGCATCAGTGCAAGCACAATCTGTGAGTTGGCCTTTTTTAGGGGACGGCTCAAGCAGGGTTCCCAAAGGTGGTACAAGACGGTAGATAAGAAGTGCCGCCCGGTTCCCGTCCTCGTTACAGAGGATGAGGAAGCATATTACGAGAGGGAACGAGGGTTGATACGACGAATGAGGGAAAGTGCTTTAGCAGGGCCATGTCGTATCAACGACGAGAACGGGGAGGAGTTGATCATAGGGGAGTCTGACTTCGTGCTGCCTCAGGAGCGAACGTTGATGGTGGAATTAATGAAGAGGAAGCATCGCGCCTATGCGTTTAGTGACGAGGAGCGTGGCAGGCTGAATGTGGACAAGATACCTATGATCCGCATCCACACTATGCCATACAAGCCTTGGAACATGAGAGGGGCGCGATATCCCAATCCTGACGAGGAAAGGAAGGTGGTGGATTACCTCGACGGCAAGATAAATACTCACGTCGCTGGCTATTCGAGTGGACCGTATGCGTCCCCGTGGTTCTGCTTCATTAAGCCTAACGGACGCTGCGGTGGGTGCAGGATTTGCAAAGACTGAATGCGGTGACCGTGCGAGATGCTGGAGGACTGCTGAATGCAGACGCGCTGTCGGAATCCTGTGCTGGAAGATCTATAATTTCGCTTATGGACCTTTACTCAGGATACGATCAGTTCCCAGTCTACCCGCCGGATAGGCCGGTGACGGCTATGCACACGCCGCGAGGATTAATCCACATGAACGTGGCCCCGCAAGGGTGGACCAACGCAGTAGCAATGGTCCAACGGGCCATGATTCGGGCTATGCAGTCAGTCAGCCCCCATATCACACAGCCATACATTGACGATTTGGCAGTGAAGGGGCCGGCGGTGAAAGAGAGTGACGAAGTCTCGCCAGGGGTAAGGCGCTTTGTCTGGAAACACATCCAGGACCTCGAAAAGGTTCTGAGCCTGTTCCAAGAGCATAACCTCATGGCGAGCGAGGCCAAATCCAGATACTGCATGAGGGAAGCGACTATCTTGGGGTTCGTCTGCAGCGAGAAGGGCCGAAGGCCGGATGTGAAGAAGACGGACAAGATTACTGAGTGGCCAGTTCCGTTCCACTCAATAACTGATGCTATGAGCTTTCTTCGTACGTGTGGGTTTTGGAGGGCCTTCGTCAAGAACTTTGCCGCTAAGACTGAACACCTGAGGAAGTTAGTCCGTCAGGATCAAGAATGGGTTTGGGGTGAAGAGCAAGAAGAGGTGGTGGCCAAAATGAAGGAGGAATTTTGAGAAGGAGGGTTAGTGTTAGGAGCGCCGGATTATGATGCCACAGAAACACGACCCTTCATTGTCGAAACAGATGCGGGACCAACTGCCTTAGGAGGAGTTCTAATCCAGGCAGACATAGAGGGAAAGGAAAGACCATTGAGATTTGAGAGTCGGACTCTCTGTACGACCGAGAGAAACTATTCTCAGTTCAAGAGGGAGACCCTTGCCGTCCTCCACTGTCTGCGAATCTTCCGGAACTACATCTTCGGCAGGAGGTTTATTTTGAGAGTGGATCCGACCGCCCTGACCTACTTTCTAAGGAATTACGTTCCATCGGATCCGATGGTTGTCAGATGGTTGACGTACATCTGGATGTTCAATTTCGAATTGGAACGGATACCTGACAGTAAGAACCGGGCGGACGGGCTGAGTAGGATCAACTGGGATAAACAGGAAGGGGAGACGGTGGAGAATATGCCCCCAGTTGATGGATTTCTAGATCAGGAAGAAGATGTTCGTCTCCACACTAACAAGTGGTCGCCGCGAGTGCCCAACTGTGTAGGTTATCCTATCTGGCAAACGCCAAGTGGGTATGAACGGAGGGATGAGCTAGTCCTTAAGCCCTTTGAGGAAGAGGATCCCTGGGGTGGTAAGGATGTTCAGTGGATGATGGAATTAGCGTTGGCCAACTCGCATAGCCTGGTGGGGGACATGAGGACGATTGAGGAAGGACCAGGCCAGGTATAACGGCATGAGGACCTGATGGGAGGAATGTATCTTCTCGTTAACACATTATTGCAGAAAAGCCTTGGTCAGTCAGGCTCGTTGAACCCGGCAGGGAATGTGGACGAAGTGCCCGAGAGTCAGGACGACGAGTTCGAGGAGGGGGAGATTAAGGAGGTCTTTCGTGCAGAGGAGTACAGCGGGATCTACCTAGAGCTGGGGCTTCTTTTGTCATGTGAAATACGGCTAAAGGATGCAAGCGATAGGGCTGAGAGGATGCTGCAGCGCTACTTAGTACGAGACGGCCACCTTTTCGTGAGAAGAGAAATGGGGAATCCCAGGAGAGTCGTCTGCGGTAGGAATCATCAGATCGACGTCGTAGCAGCGCTTCACGATGGCATTGCAGGAGGGCATCAAGGGGTACAAGCCACGTATGCCAAGATAAGTGAGCTATACTACTGGGATGGGATGATGGATATGGTTGGGAAGTTCTGCCGATCTTGCGTACCCTGCCAAGAGAGATCCTGTTTAAGGCAAGGAGAGCCGTTGCATCCAAGGCTAGAGCGAGAGGTGGGGGCTGTAGTGCATCTCGATCTACTTTTTATGCCGCTTGGGGATCAAGGCTATAATTATATTTTCGATGCGCGCGATAACCTGTCTGGTTTCGTAGACGGGCGTGCTATTCGCACAAAGACCGGGTCAGTCCTAGTGAGATGCCTCGAGGAGTATTTCCTACGCTATCCTTTCGTCAGGGAATTTGTAATGGACAGGGGATTGGAGTTTACCTGTCAGGAGGTGCAAGAATTGTTATCAAGGTATGATGTAGCAGCCAACTACACCACGGCCGCGCACCCCCAGGCAAATGCTCCCGTGGAGAGAGGACATAGTACCATTACGAGTCTCCTGGCTAAGTGGACCGAAGGTAGGCCTAATGAATGGCCAAGATACCTAAGGGCGACTTTCTTTGTCGAGAACATTACAGTAAAAAGATACACCAAGTATGCACCGGGGACACTGTGGTATGGAAGGCACGCCACCTTCCCTATCGAGAGCTTTCTTAAGACATGGAGGCGCCAGGATCTGGAAGTTAACCTGTCATTTGAAGAGTTGCTCGATATTCGGGCGCGACAGATAGGGGCGATAGAAGAAAGGATCCAGGAGGCGTCTGATCAGGTGGCGAAGAGTCGTATGGATGATAAGGCTCGATGGGATCAGTCGGCGCGGTTGAGGAAAGTACCCTTGGCAGTTGGGGATGTCGTGTTTCTCTACGATTCATCGTTGGAAAAGCAGTGGTCTAGGAAACTCTATAAGAGATGGTTAGGTCCCTACCGGATCGCACGGGTCGGAGACTTCGGAGCGTACCAGATTGAGGAGCTAAATTGGACTGAGTGGAAGGATTGGGTATCTGGAACGCGATTGAAGAAATTTGGTGCAAGAAAAGAGGTAAGAGAGATGACCTGACTGCCTTTAGAATAGAAATAATAGGGTGTGTAGGTTAGGTAAGATGCATGTTGCATGAGTGTGGTCTGGTCTGAGCTTGCCTTGATTATCACCTGCTTGCTTAGCCCAATGTGTGCCTGTTGTCTCCTTCGCCTGTTGAGCAGGTCTGACTTTACGAAGACAGCCATGCCTGTTGTCTCCTCAGAGGCCGTTGGGCGCATCAGGAGGATATGAGCGGCATGGGCCTCGCCATCGGGAGAGTACTCTGGTCTACAATGATGGGAACATCGAGCTATTCCTGGACAGTTTTTGGGAGCATGCGAGGCATATGGGCTGGTCCGTGGCCCAGGCAATTGAGAGATTGAGGGGAGCAGGCAGGTTCGAGGAGCCCATTGTCAGGATTCGTAGGCAGGCGACGACGAGGCAGGAGATGGAGATGAGGATGGAGGAGTTGCGACCCTCGCTTGTGGGACCTGATGGCAGGCCGATCCGCCTGGAGATTGGAAATGCGTCGGACTTCTTCCCCACGTTTGAGTGGTTCATGCAAGGGCAGGGCATACCGAGAGATGATTGGATGCAGATACTACCACTTTGGACCAGGAAGGCGGAAAGGCCACTGGTTAGCCAAATCAGAGACATGGCCCGGGATTGGGGAAGCTGCAGGGCACATCTGAGAGAGACCTTTGGACGACCAGAGACCCCCCAACCCAGAGTCGAGAGGCGTCAGAGGAGTCAGAGGCCGAGGGACCCTCAGCCCAGGGAGGCGAGACCGTCTCGAGGAGGACGGAAGGCCCTAGCCAGGAGAGAGGAGGAGTCAGAGCCGGAGCCAGAGGCTGAGGGGCGAGGGGTGTACCCTGAGTGTGGATTGGGACCGGTGGAGTTCCATCGTTTTACTGAGGGTGGATTGAGGAGATCGCCAGCACGCACGCAGGAGGAGCCGCCAGCATCTGAGGGGCCCTTGAGGGAATTGGAGACGCATTTAGATATTTCTCGGTGGAGGGCGTTGCCTCAGGGTGAGGAGCATGGAGAGCAGGCAGAGGAGGTGCCACGAGAGGAGGTGCCACAGGAGGAGGTGCCACAGGAGGAGGTGCCACGGGAGGAGGTCCAGGGTACTCAGCGAGATAGAGGGCTGGGCGATGAGGGGAGACGTACAGGGAAGGAAGTAATAGAGGTTGGAGAGGACACGCCCCCTCAAACGCCGGCGATGGGCTTGAGACTCGGGGATGCACCAGGAAGCACTCGCCAGGCGGAGGAGAGGTTGCAGAGAGAGGAGGCCCCATTACCGTCATCAGAAAAGGCTCCTTCGCCAGAAGATAGGGCAGAAAGGAGGAGAGAGAAGGCAGCTGTAAGGAGAGAAGCCTTGATCCTGATTGATAGGCACCTAGCAGCTCATGCCCTGGAGCACCCAGACCTGGAAGAGCCAGCACCTGCAGAGCCGCGCCAGAAGCCATGCCGACCCGAGAAGGAGATGGAAGCAGAGATCCCAAAGAGGGTCGACCTCCGAACGAGGGAAAGGGCACCAGCTGGAGAGACAACAGAGGAAAAGAGGGCGAGAAGGACCAGGAGGATAAACGAGATATGGCGAGAGAGGCAGAGGTTGGAGGCAGCAGGGGAACTTCCGGAGCAGCAGCAGGAAAGGCAGAGATTGGAGGCAGCAGGAGCACTCCCAAGCCAACCACCCAGCGCGCCAGCTGGGGCCCCGGAGATCCCTGAGATGTGGAGGGACTTCTGGGAGCAGAGAGGAGAGGAGCTTCCATCGCYAGTCAGAGCCGGGTTTGGGGTAGCCAGAAAGGCGGAAGAGAGGTTAGATCGTAAAATCAAGTTCCTGGCCAAGACCACTTTTGACCGGCACTTGTTATTGGAAGGCGATCTGGCAGGGAAGAAGATGAAGGAAGCAAGCCATGGAGTACGCCTGGAGGCTATGGAGATGGAAATTCAGAAACTCAGGGTATTGGTGGTCAGCCAGGCCGCTATCATCGAGAGCCTGACGCAGCAAGCCCAGGGAAAGGTGGACAGGCCAGAGAGCAGCAGGCAGGGAGAGCAAAGGCAGCCAGGACAGGGATTGCCAGGACAGCCACCTGCAGCAGAGCCTCGCCAGGAGCCACCTATGGGGAGGGTTATCCTGGAGCCAGAGGAGGCGAGAGCCCAGAGACAGGCGGAGAGAGAGGCATTCGAGTTTATAGCCCCTACCGAGCTCGCGACACTGCCAGTAGCAGCGGCGGGCCCAGTCGTACCTTTGGTAGTTGAGGAGGGGCGGCCACCATCTAGCAGTGAGCCGTCTCAGGGCTCAGCAGAGGCATCCATGGGCGTGCTCCTTGAGGCAGTGCATACCATGCATGAGGAGGCGAGTTTGTTTTCACCCGAGCAGAGGATAGAGGAGCCTCTTGAGAGAGAGATGGGGATTGAGGCGGAGGGTGCCATCGAGGAGGGGCTCCAGAGGTTGGGCACGCCTGAGTATGGGCCAGAGGAGATTGAGGAGCAGCCCATGGCAGTGCCAGGAGAGACACTCGAGAGGAGAGCGACAGGGGATTTGAGAAGCAGACTGGGATCTTGGGCTACTGGATCTAGGTCTGGGGGACCGGTTCCTGGAATGGAGCAGCAGGAGGTCGTTAGTACCGCAGCTCCTGGGACAGAGCAGCAGGGGGTTGTCAGTTCCTTGATAGGATCCCCTTCATCACCACCTCCTCAGCCCAAGAAGAAGAAGTTCAAGAGGAAGGTCGATCAACTATGTTTTTACTGCAAGAGGGACGTGCATCATGCTCTGGATTGTCTCGAGTTCCTTGAGGATAAGGCAACAGGGAAGGTCTCAGAGGTAGGGGGTAAGATGTATGATAGACAGGGTAGGATAGTAGAAAAGTTTACAGATGGACTTAGGGCTCAGTTATAGGCAAAACCAGGAAGAGTTGAGGAGGTAGGGCCGGTTTTGTCTATCTAAGTGGGCAGGTATCTTGTGAGGCATCAGCTTAGGTTCTGTGTGATATCCTCTTAGACAAACTCTAGTATTCGTACTGATCTAGGGTCTTGAGGATCAGGGTGATTTAGATGAGGCATGTACATATCTAGGTGGCCTACGCACTGGCATTTAGAGACAGATCTGACATGTATTCTGGGGGTAGTTGTCAGTGTAGGTTTGGTGTGGCTTGAGTTGAGTGAGTTATGATTTGGAGACATTTTTCTGTGTGAGACATTTTATTTCCCTGAGTGTATGTTATGATGAGGTTTCTTTCAGGGATCATTCTTATATGTGACGATCACGTGTCTCTCTCACATGTGTGGTTGTGCTCTGATGAATGATGAGTTTGTGTGGACAATGTGTGAAAAACTTCTTATGTGTCATGGGTACTGTGAATATGATTATAAACAAAACTGTCTACTCCTCGGTATACTTATGCGACCTGCCCACGGGCAGCTGATAAGGCAGAGTATAAGGGGAGGAAGAGCAGCCCGTCTGTGAAAGGTTGTGAGGATTTTGAAGATTTATGAGCCCTGGAGGCTCAGAATGCTTACCATGTTGATTATTGATTTCTTAAGTTGTGATGAGGACCCATAAGATGGTCGCTCAGTGATGTTTCATTTTATAATGGGACCCCCTTGAATTTTGGGGAGGGGGAATGTTTTATGATGTTTTGTGATGTAACGAAAACCCTTGTGATTTTTGGAAGATGGGGTGTTTTGTCTTATGATGAGAGTCCCTTGGATTTTTGGAAAATGGGGTGTTGTTGTTGGAAGACTCACCTTCAAAAGTGAGTAAACTGATTTATGGCATGACAAGTTGTTTGATGGGTGATAAAGTCTGACGAAAAGGGTCACTTTTGTTTGGGAGGTTTGAGAAAGTCGCAATGAGTGCAAAACGAGAGATGTCTCAGGGTGGGTGGCTGTTGGCTCTGATCAAGTCAGGGGTCACGACCTGGTGGATTTAGCGGTGATTTTATTTGAAAGCGTACGAAGGATGCCATGCCTATTGTGGAAGGGCTGGTAAATGCCTTCAGACCCCTGCGTATCGCGCAGTGGGCCAGTGATTTTTGTTTTGCGACGCCCCCGTTTAACGACTGGTGCTAATTCTGAGACATATTGAAGAAAGGCCAAGCTAACGGAAAATAAGTTAGTACCTCTAGGGCGTAACCCCATTGGATGGCTGCTAGCCGGCGCAACCTGGCTGCGAGACCGCGTGAGTAAGAGTTTAAGGGGGGGTGCCCGCCCCAGTGAAATTACTCCGCGGGATAGTAATGGTTGAGAATTTTTGGGGGAAATCCTGATTGAATGCTTATCAGAAGAAAACCTATCGTTGCGTAACCAACGAGGGTACTGCTGCTAAATAATAATGCGGTGGGCCGTGGTCCTTGTCCGATCAGCCAGGCTATGGTGGGCCAAGGTGGAGACTTAGCTTTTTTTGTACTAGACTGCAGAAAGAGCTGAGCGGATATTAAGTATACGTATATACGTATGTGTATTTGATTGCGAGAGATTTTCTGAGAAGGAAGGCCGGAGTGCCTTCAAAGGTCTTGGTTAAGGCCCACGTCCCTAGTTTTTGCTAGGACTAGGGACACCCAACGAGAAGCCGAAGGTTGTCTAGGACCAGGGAGAGGGCGATTGGGAAGGTCTTTGGAACTTATGCGGTCAGAGTACTAATTTCTGGGCGGTAAGAGGCCCAGGTTAGAAACCTGGCAGCATATAGTTGTGAAGGCATGGTTTGATGGAGGTCTCTACCCTGTGTTTGTCGGCTAATCGGATTGGCTCGCTTTTTCGTCAGCATTTGGAGTGTGGATGGATTTATAGCTCTCTGATTTGGCGTCGCTTAATATGGTCCGGTAAGCTGTCGGTGCGAATACCCTTACAAAGGTATCCGCCCTGGTTTTTGCAAGTAACAGAAAACAGTTTTTGGTTTAGAGTTTAAGGATACCGCGCTAAGCACGGCTGCACCTGTAATTACGTTGACTAGGTGGTTGACCACAATAGCAAGTGCGTGGGCGCGCAGGCTTAAAGACGTGCGTGAATTTTTTCTGTTGTTGATCGTAAAGCCGGTCCGGACCTCGGTCGTTTTGCTTAGGTGATATTATTTACTATTTATTTTTGATTAAGCAGGAAATTAAGAATATTTTCTTTTGATTGGTACTTTTGACCGAGTCGAACGCGCTTGCGGAGAACGATCCCGACGACGCCATCGGCAACGACGGCGCGACTTTCGTGCGGTGAGCGGGGTATCGTAGGATGGTGCGCGGGGCAATTATGGCACGGTATAAGCGAACCTGCGCGGGCACTAAGAGCCACGCAGCCGTTTTATTGGCCCAAAGCGCCGCGCCGCACCGTCTTATATGGCACCCGGCGTGTTTTGGTCTCAGGCTTCGGCTTAGCCCTATAGGTTACGGCATCGGACTATTACAACGAAGGTTTGAGGATCGAGGGCAGCGGGCGTCGACGCAGCAACTGTAGCGGAGCGTCGTGGAAGGAACCGATGGGGTCGAGGGCGGACAGGGTTATCCCCCTCGGTTTTTGTTTGCAGGCGCAGCGACGCGCCCGGTCAGCGGGGGCTGGCGAGGCGCTAGCAGCCCGTTGTTCCCCGACCCTATTGCTATTTTATCCTATTTCCCCTATCTGTTTTGTTTGTCGTATCCCGAGGGCGCGAGACTGCGGTAGCAGCGCCCGGGGGTGTGTTGTATCCGCAGGGATGCCCGAAGAGCAATTACAAACTGTTTTTGTGGCTGTGTCGGGGCCGCGCCCCGTTTTGCCTTGGGACGCAGGGCCGTGATTACACCCGGGGCCTAAGGGCCAAGCTCAGTGGGTAAACCCATGAACTGTTGAAATGCAGACTTGTGTTCGAATTCAGGTGATGGAACTTGGTGAGTAAAACTAAAAATTTTGAATTACCTGGGGGGGTGCCGGGTCCAATTGACCCCGCGGCCCAGGCTGTGTCCTCCGGACATCCGTTAAAATTGGAATGATACAGAGAAGTTTAGCATGGCCCCTGCGTAAGGATAAAGTGCATAAATCAGGACGAGGTCCGACGGCCGGACGCTTTTCTGGGTCTTAACATTTACGTGCCGTCGGGCCGGCACTGCGCGGTATAGGGGAACGGAGTAGCAAGGATTGTCGAGTAATGAGACCAGGCCATTGCGGGTGTCGGGTGCTGCGCTAACAGTAGGAGCGGAGGACAGGCAGCGCAGCAATAGAGAGAGTGAGGGAGCTTACTTGGCGGAAACGGGGGCGGCAACTTACCTATTGGAGAGATGGCTCAGGCGAGCGGGCTATGGTAGAGGCAAATAGGAGAAGGCAGCGGGAGAGCAAATGGATTGGGACGGAGCCCGGTGCAGGGTGCATGTAAAGTAAGGGAGAAAAGATTAGGAAAAAAAAACTGAATGTGGGCGCGAATTCGGGTCAGGGGCACTCGGGAATGAGGTGAACAAGAAAAATCGAGTTATCACTTGATTCTTGACAGAATCGAGCGGGGGAAGAGTCTAGATAGGGGTTTTCGGACAAGGCGATCTCGAATCTGTGGTCAGTTTTTAGCGGTGAGTTAGTGAGTCAGGAGTTAGTTCAGGAAAGGGCTGCGTTGGGCTATGGCGGAGAAGAGGAAAAACGGGAAGAAGAAAACGAGATACCACTCGATTCTTGGTAGAATCGAGTGAAGTAAAAGCTGGGATAGGGGCTTGCGGGGCGGGCGACCCCGAATATGTAGTTGGATTGGGGAGATAAGTAGMAGATCGCGGAGTTAGTAGGGAGRAGCTTGCGTGAGGGGCTATGGCGGAAGGGGAATKAACGAGAGAGAAATTATGTTARTTCGATAGTCTCTCTGCCRTTTTTGGCAAGTGGAGTTTCGAAKTAGGGGTTTCTACCTTGGGCGAACGCAAATAAGAGGTTAGACTTAGTGAGGGGTTAGTAGACTTGGAGATAGAAAGASAAACTCGTGCGCGGAGATAGCGATGGGARGGAGAAAGTGAGAGGTGCAATTGTGAATCTCGCCCGTTTTGTGATGAAAACGGGCGAGGGAGGACTCAATTTTGGGGTTTTCGGGGGTCGCAAACCCAATCGTACAGTTAGTTTGGTCGAAGAGTTAGTAAAMAGAAAGTTAGTRGGTAAGTAGGAGGGGAGGACTGYGACTGAAAATGGGWTGGYAAGGTGCGGATGCACCYAGCCTCGTTTTAGCGGTAGATTTATAACGAATTCGCTTGTCTAAGGAGTGTCGGGATGGTAGCGTGTCTTTCTGCAGTTTTTCGATAGATTCATTGCGACTCAGAGAGAGAAAGGAACGAGATTGGACTCACCTGTCTATCAGAGGCTGCGCGCGGCGGTTTGGTTAGTGTACAGTTAAACCTGGCCGTAATGCTGGTCAAGTACGCCTGTCCTTTTGAACCAGTATGCAAGACAGGAGAAAAGCTCGACGGGACCAGACCACTACAATGTGAACTTACCTGTGTTCCTCCTATCACAGAGAAAGAACCGGGAAAACGGCGGAAGGAAAGCAGAAGGGGCGAAGGGGTCGACCGTGAAGAGGGAGTCGAGCGTTTGGGTACTCACCTGTTGGCCGGTGAGTTGCTCATCCCGTCGATTGAAGCATCCGGGACGAGCGGTGTTGGGAGAGACAACTCACCGGTCGCATGGCTGGAATGGCAGTAAAGGTCGCCGTGTTCGAGCAGTAGATTCATCCACTTTGGCCGCTGGGAAATAACGGGGTCGGGCAGCTATGGGATAGGAGGACGGCAGTCGGCTGTGGTTTAGCGAAAAGTTCCACTGCGATCCTTCCCATCTGGTTGCTAGGAGTACTGACAAATAGCCGCAGGACTGAGGACTGGCCTGTCGGGCAATACAACCATGCGGAAGGGGTGATGACGGACTATGCATCGGGAGAGCAGCTATACGCACGGGTGAGCATGTGCAAGCGAGTGAATGGGACAGGGAGGTATGAGCACACGTACCGGGTGAGGTAGAGCAACAAGAGCAAGAGCCGAAATAACTCTCGGAGAAGGAGAA